AAGATCATCCCCCTCCCCCAGTACTTCTTCTGCTCTTAATTCCCCTGGAGGATGCACCTACCCAGCAAGTTTTCATCAGCCTGAAAGAAGAAGATGTGAGCCCAGTGTCCCAAGAGGCCCTTAAAGCCCAAAACAGAGACTGGGAGAGAGGGTCAGAAACCATCCAGAGGATGCCCATTTCAACCACAGGAACACTAAGAGCATCTCCAATTCCTGTGCAGAGGCCTCTTCCCAGTTCCTAAAGTGTCTTTCTTGCCTTGTTTGTTCCTGTTTAGGGTTTAACTCCCCACCCCCACCCCACCAAACAGGGGGCATTATTATAGCCAGGGGTGTGGGGAAGTGAAAAGCCCACCAGACAGGATATATCAGTACTGGCCCCATGTTCGGAGCCCAGAAAAGGCAGTCGTGTTTGAGCTACCTGGGAAAGTAAACAGGTAAACACTGGGCGACTTAGAGGGCCACTTGTCATGAAGTGGGGCCACTTAGCCTGTGTACATTCACCTCCCTTCCTGGGCCCCCTGCAATTGTTCAGCTCTTCTTTGCCTGCTCCAGCCTCCTGAGCTGAGGCTTTAGTCTTCCCCAAACCCAGAGCAGCAGAAGTGGACCAAGGGCTCCAAGGAGCCTCCAAAGAAGATTCTCTCTAGCTTCCAGGGAAGAGTTTCTCTTTCTCCTCACCAGTCTGTGTCTCACATTGCACCCATCATAAACTTAGCAAAAGTGAACGGAGAGATTTGTGCTGAATCTGGGGCCCCCATGCARAAAATTAAGACCAGGGATGGGTAGGGCTACAGCAGTTGGAGTCACCCCAGCAGAAGAGCATGTAGTTCTGGACACTAAGGAGATGCCAAGAGGATCTCTCTGAAGCTCAGGGTATGCTGGGTTCAGAACATGTGATATCTACCTCAACCTGCTGGAGTCTATGGCAGAGAAAGCCCACTGCAGAGCTCAGGAGCTTCCCCGGAAAATTACGGCTGACCCCTAACCCAAACCTGATTGAACCCAGGAAATTGTTTTCTCCTGGGTTCCAGATAGAACCTGGAAAGAGTTTACTAAAGAATTCCGAAAGGGGGGACTAGTTCACATCCTCTTATAATTGAAACTGGTACCAGCGGACGCTAATATATTCAGGTGGAGCGTTAATAAAGAATTTTCTCCCTAGGAGGGGCGCGGGACTATCGCCTCTCAAACTGCTGGGTATGAGGGATCCTGTGAAAAAAGGAGATCCTGGGCTCCAAAAGGCCCGGATATGGTGGTGCTTCGGAGGGACGCCTCTTGGGGAGTCTTCAGGACGCAATCACCTGTTTAATTTGGGCAGAAGAGATGCGTTTAGCACCTGACCCCTCTGCTCTTCTGGCTGCACCTCGGCCTACCAAATGCAGGAGACCTTGGAGTAAACTCTGGGCTTGGGACTTGCCCCCGGCCGCCAGCTGGGCCCGAGCTGGCGTCCCAGGCTGCTCCTGGGGGACTTGAATTTTATGATCTTCTTCTAACAAGCCCAGTTTCTCCCCTTCAATTATGGGCCTCCCAGTGGTCTCCCTGGGCCTTTTCAATTGCAAATGTTAACGCTTTGGAAACGGACGCGGGAACCACACCAGAGGGATGGGGAAATGGACTCTGCAATGTCCCTGGAGAGATACCCTGAGCCTGGTCAGGGAGCTTCTCCTGCTCTCTCGCCTCCCGGATGCCCTAAGATCAGGAGAAGGAAAAATGGGTGTACCAGTTGGGGTGAGGGTGGAGGGGAGATACCAGGTGATTGCCTGCGCCTGAAGGGAAAGTTTAGACTCGCAGGTGCTCCGGAATGGGGACCTTGGGAGCTAAGATGCTGAAGGGTTTTGGCTAGTTCCAAAGGGCAGGCCCTGTTGCAAACCAGACCTTTGTGAACTGTCCTGGGGACTTCCGTCTCACTACTCTCCGATGATTAATTCCCAGAAGCCTGGATTCCCGTAGGAAAACAGTTGTTTCTCAGGTGCTCTGTGCACCTTGCAAGCTCCCAGGGGCGAGGGGAGGGGACCTGATCAACAGCTACACTGGTTATATCCAAAAGAAAGGCCCACCATGCTGGGAGAAGAGAGGAAGAAGTTGGAAACTACAGGGAACTAAGTAGTTCCAAGTCCAGGAAACGATCAGGCTCTGGAAGGCATCTCAGGAGCAACCCCACCACCACCATCACCAACATGGTTCTGGGCTCTAGAGATTGTGTTTGTGTGTGTGTGTGTGTGAGAGAGAGAGAGAGAGAGAGAGAGAAAGAGAGAGAGAGAGAGAGAGAGAGAGAATTTTGTTTTAAAGACCACTTCTTACCAAAGGACTGCCTTCCTACTCAACCCAAGAATTGGTCTGGCCCTACTAGGCTTCATTCTGCCCCCAGACCCCAATCCTGGAGGCTAACCTAGTGCCCAAGAGGGCTCTCCTTTCTTAGGACAGAGGAATAAGAGGAGGGACAAAAGGAGGGTCTTTTCTGCAGTGCCTGGGTTGAGGAACTTTTTCTTGCCAGTTATTTATTTTAGCAGCCACATAACAATGGCCCCAGGCAGGCCCACCCCCTCCCCTATGTCCAAACTCGGTGGTGCTTCCCCGACTCCAGGAAAACCGACTTCCCTCCTCCAGCCGGACAGAGCAGTGAGCTCCCACGTGAAAGGGGGAAGGGAGAGGCAACAGGCAGGGAGGCTGAGAAAGACAGAGAGTGGAAAGGGGGGGCCCAAAAAGTAACGGGTTTGAGGAACACGATTCAAACCAGTTTTTAATTCTTGCGGGAGGAAAAAGGGGGAGAAAGGAGAAAAGAAAAAGTAAGAGGAGAAAGAGAGGAATCGAGGAGCGTCGACATGAAGGGGTTTCCTTAATATTGTGGACGGATTCAGAAATGAATGAAGAGATAGTCCATTGAAAAGGGTTGAATACCATGACAACTAGGAACAACCTTAGATTTATTCCAAACAGTTAGGACACATTGAAAGAGAGCGTCAATCATGTATTATTTCGCCACTGAAATAAATGCAAAAACCGAGCCGGGACAAAGGCTTCCAACGGGAGCGGGACATTTGTCTACATTTCGCTCATTGTCCGCAGCTTAGCAATCGGTTTGTATTTGTGTTTGCCCGGGTCCGACCACCCAGGACGCGCCGACGAGGGGCTCGCTCCAACCTGGGCCATTGTCACCCACGTCACATACTGGGGGCGAGGCAGCGAGGGCTGCAGAAAGCTGCGGAACGGCTCGGAGAGAGGCGCCCTCACCCGGCGCTGGCAACCCCGGGGGTGGCGGGGGGCGCCGCGGCGGCCGAAGCAGCTGCGCGGAARAAGGACCTGGCGTCCGCACACTCTGCTTCGCCCGCTAGCTGAGGCTGCCCAGGCTCCCAGCAGTGGGGAAGAAGAGACCGGACAGCCTCACCCCTCCTCGCCCCTAGGCCCAGTTCGTTCCAGACGTTCCTGCGGGGCGGACAAGCTTGTTGTGGCAAACCTCCTCCTCTCGCCCCTCCCCAAATTTAAACTGGACCCGGGGCTAGTAAGAGCGGAGTGACCTTTTCCACCCCGGCGCGCAGGAGTAGGACTGTCCTGGGAAAGTTTAGTCTTCAGGTTGGAAAGTTAACAAACACTAACCTAATGCAAACTGGGAACCCAGAGCGCGTCCTCAGAATGCACCCCCCCGGGATGTCCAGAAGAAGAAATTAAAGGACTTCCGTGGGAATAGAAAACTCCGAAGAAAACGCAGCATCATCCGCTCACCCTGGGACCCCTCCCCTGTGACTTTCTGAGTCCTCACACAGGTTGAAGCACAAGCTTCTCCGGCCCCCGCCACGGTCTCGCCCGCACCCCTCCTGCAGCTTCACCTTTAGCTTAAGGCTGGAGAGGGAGGGGTTCCGAGAGACCAGGATAATAGAGAGCTGGAAAGGAGCGGGGTCGTCTGCCCTTCCCTCTCCACTCAGAATAAGCTGCCTGCGGGTGCCCAAAGCGGTAGGGCCTGAGTCCGAATCCGGCCGGAGTCAAAGCTCCTTGCTCCCACCCCGCCCTTCTCTAGACCGCCCGCAAAGCAGAAAGTGAACTGCGTGTCCTCCGCTGCCGCAAAGAAATGGGGGGGGGGGTGGCGGAGTGAAGGAAATAAATGAGTCTTTAGCAAATAAAGGGCGACTGGGAGGGGGGTGCTTGGTGGTGGCTTTGGCCGGCCCGGAGCCTAGCCCTCTGCTGGGTTTCGAGCTCTTTCGCGTTTAACTAGAATCAATTACTTGCCTTGTCATTTCTAGTACTCATCCTTAAGCCTCAACCAAAATATTGACCTAGGAGGCTTACAGAAGTTGGGTTCTTGCCATTTGAACCGGATCTTGTTTAGGGAACCACCAGCAAGGGGAAAGAGAGATTTCCGCGACTCTGTCTACGCCCCCTCCCCCTTTTCCAAAGGCGCCACAACTCGCCAATTTTCTGGCTGGGGGTGTTGCGGGGGGCGGGGAGGTAGGAACTGGGAAATGCTAAAGAGGCTTTTTCCCTCCCCTTCCTGGCTTCTGTTTTGGTCCTCCCCCCCACCCACACACACACCTTTTTTTTAAGAAGCAATTTGTTAAAACGGCCTTTCAAGTGTGTGGACTCGCTAGCGACGCGGTGGTCCTTTGTATGTAAATACTGAAGGGGAAAAAAAAAAGGCTCTCCCGATCTTTGCAATTAATTGACACGTTACACCTCTCATCTTGCTCTAGAGGGCCGTTGGCTGGGAGCGCGGAGCTCCCCAAAACCCACAATTTCACATCTGCAAATACTGTCTTCATCCACTTGACTCCCAAGACCCGCCCACACGTGGCCAACCTTTGCGTTTTTAATGTCTCTTCCCCTTTTTCCACCCTTCTCTTGCTCCCTCTCTTACTCCCCCTCCCTCTCTCTCTCTCTTTTTCCCTCCCTCCCTCCCTCTTTCTCCCCCTCCCCCCCTCCCCAGGTTCGTGAGTGGAGCCCAGCCTTATATGGACTGATCGCTCGGGCAATGGCCCATTTTTTCCTCGCCACCAGCCGCCACCGCGCGCCGAGCGGCCGCCGGAGCCCAAGCTGACGCCGCCTTGGCACCTCTCCTGGAGTTACAAACTAAGGCCGGGCCGGCGCTAGGCGCTCAGGCAGCCCAGCTCCCTGCGTCCATTTCCGCGTGCTTCCAGAGAAGACAGAGGCTCAGAGTTGGGCTTTATTCCGCCCCCCCCTTTCCCCACTGGTTCTTTCTCTTATTTAAAAAAATAATAATTACTTCAATAATTAAAGCCCATCCCCCCTTCCCTCCCCCAACCCCTCCCCCCAACCCCCTCCCCCGCCCTCCAGGGCTGGGGAGCGCTACGAATTGACCAAGTGAAGCTACAACTTTGCGGCATAAATTGCGGGGTCCTGAACCATGTCGCTGACCAACACAAAGACGGGGTTTTCGGTCAAGGACATCTTGGACCTGCCGGATACCAACGATGAGGAGGGCTCGGTGGCCGAGGGGCCGGAGGAGGAGAGCGAGGGGTCTGAGCCGGCCAAGAGGGCCGGGCCCCTGGGGCAGGGCGCCCTGGACGCGGTGCAGAGCCTGCCCCTGAAGAGCCCTTTCTACGACAGCAGCGACAACCCGTATACACGCTGGCTGGCCAGCACGGAGGGCCTCCAATACTCCCGTAAGTAGTGAAACTTGGCTGCTGCAGCCCTGACAGCCTCCATTCCTGCGGCTGTAGCCCGGACTGGACGCTGGGAGTTAAGGGGGAAAGAAGCCAAAGTCCAGATACTTCACCCTGGGTTCCTAGATTTTTTTTTTTAACATTTGTTTGGGATGCAATCTTTTCTCATGGTCAAGCCCCCTTAGTCTCTGCAAAAGACTTGGTCTCAGCTTTTTTTTTTTTTTCAACATGAGAAATTAAGGAGGCAGAGAAGAAAGGAAATGCCTCCTAAGGGCTGGTTGCAGATGTCAACCGACACTGATAGCTTGGGCCCTAGACCCCAGACTCCAACCGCCGGGAGGGACTGGCCTGACACACTGGAACTAGCCAGCGAGCCTGGTCCAGGCTGCGGGTAGAGGGTGAGGGAGGCTTGGGGTGGCCTGGGTATAAGTAGCTCACCCTGCCCCCTGTGTGATCATAGAGGACGCTTTGTGCTGTGCAGGGGGTGTTGAGAAAGACCGAAAGAAAAAAGGAAAAAAAAAAAAGAAAGCCCCCAAAACCTGCCTTAAATGGCCGAGACGATCAATGCCGGGATTGTGGGGAATTTCTCTTAAAAATCTGCCCACGTCTCTACAGAGAGGAATCAGCTTAAGGGGGCCGGAGCCCTTAACCCGCAATGATCTCCCAAGCACCCCCATCAATTCGCACCCACACTGTGCGAATCCCTAGAACCGTGAGTCCTAAGCCCCCACTCCTACTGATTTTCCCCTTTACCCTGGAAGACCCCGACGGCTTTCTCAGGCGTGGCGCAGGGTAGGGATCATCGCAGAGGCAGCCGCGCTGGGCTGCAGAGAGCTGAGGGCCAGAGGCCCACGGAAGAACGAGGTGCTCTAGCTCTGGCCCAGGCGGCGCGCGGCCTCCAGGCGCCTGACGCGCTTCTTTCCCCTCCAGTGCACGGGCTGGCGGCGGGCGCTCCCCCCCAAGACTCAAGCTCCAAGTCCCCCGAGCCCTCGGCTGACGAGTCACCGGACAATGACAAGGAGACCCCAGGCGGCGGGGGGGACGCAGGCAAGAAGCGGAAGCGGCGGGTGCTCTTCTCCAAGGCACAAACCTACGAGTTGGAGCGACGCTTCCGGCAGCAGCGGTACCTGTCGGCGCCAGAGCGCGAGCACCTGGCCAGTCTCATCCGCCTCACGCCTACGCAGGTAAAGATCTGGTTCCAGAACCACCGCTACAAGATGAAGCGCGCCCGGGCGGAGAAAGGTATGGAGGTGACACCCCTGCCCTCACCGCGTCGGGTGGCCGTGCCTGTCTTGGTCAGAGATGGCAAACCGTGCCACGCGCTCAAAGCCCAGGACCTGGCAGCTGCCACCTTCCAGGCAGGCATCCCCTTTTCGGCTTACAGTGCTCAGTCACTGCAACACATGCAGTACAACGCCCAGTACAGCTCGGCCAGCACCCCCCAGTACCCGACAGCACACCCCCTGGTCCAGGCCCAGCAGTGGACTTGGTGAGCACCGCCCCTCCGAGACTCGCGGCCCCAGGCCCAGGCCCCACCCCGGCGACTGCGGCGGCGGCGGCGGCAGCGAGGAGGACTCGGTCCATACGGTGGTTATTATTATTATTATAATTATTATTATAGAGTCGAGTTGACTCTGGGCTYCGTTGGGGAGGCGCCGGGAGGTTGCCTACGCCTCCTTGAAGTGGCAGATTCCATCCACCCGACTCTGTCCCCATCTCTCTCTCCTTTGAACCTTGGAGAGGGTTGAACTATAAGCCGTGTTTACAGAATGTTTGCGCAGCTTCGCTCCTTTGCCTCTCCCTGGGGGGTACCAGACCATCCCAGCGTAAAAGTCGTCACTTGAAAATGAGAAAAAGAGCGAACCCCCACCCCGCTTTCGTGAATTTTGTAAAATATGTTTGTGTGAGTAGCGATATTGTCAGCCGTCTTCTAAAGCAAGTGGAGAACACTTTAAAAAATATAGAGAATTTTTCTTTTTTTATAAGAAAATGCTACATATTTATGGCCATGTAAACGTCCTGACAACTGGTGGCAGATTTCGCTTTTCGTTGTAAATATCGGTGGTGATTGTTGCCAAAATGACCTTCAGGATGGGCCTGTGAACCCTGCAGGCCCAACTCCTTTCTTGGTGGTTTGTTTTGGTTTGGTTATGTTTGGGTTACCCCTGTTTTCTTTTTTGCTTTTAAAAAACATTTTGTTCAGTGCAAACATTTTTCAAATATGAAAAAGAAAAAAAATGTGTAGGCGACAAGCCGCCTGCCCCATTTTCCGGGTCCTGAGCCCCGGAACTTGGAGCTCAGCGGTTCCGGGCGGTTCCCCAAGAGCGCCGGGCGCTGAAAACTTTCGATTTTTTAAGTAATTTTAATAAAAATCCTGTGTTAAAAAACAAACAAACAAGCCCAGACTTCCCGTTTGTCTGACTCTGTAGCCCTGCACCGGGCCAGAGGCCTTGGGCAAGTAACCAGGTCCGGCCGCACCCAGCGCTCGTTTGCACCCGCTTTCCGTCTCCCCAGGGTAGGAGGCCGGGGTACCGGGGCGCTGATGGAGCTCCCAGGACAGGCCTCATCCGGACTGCCGGACAGGGCTCTTAGGACCCGGGGCCGGAGTGGGAGCGCTCAGCCTCCAGCCTGCAAACGGTTGGCCCAAAGTCCGGGGTGGCCCTGCCTCTCTCGGGCCTCTTTCCTAGCTCTGTGCCTGTGTGAACTCCTGCATCCCGGCCTCCGGAGGAAAAGTGACTTTGAGAAACGCAAAGGCAAGGAGAGCATGCCCCCCTCGCTTGCCCAAATCTACGAGTGGCTCCTTCAGCCTGAGGAGCTGTTGAAGCCACTACACTCGATGACTTTCACTTTGTTGCGTTTGATTTACTTCGCGCTAAGAAGGGAGGGGGCTCTGAGGTTGAGACTGGTCGGCTTTCTTTCTACTCCCCACCCCCTTTTCGAAATCTGCGGACGAGTGGAGGCGTCGGAGCCGGCTCTAAGGCCTGGACGCAGAAAGAGTTTTGTGGGGGGTTTTGTTTGTTTTTGTTTTCCCGGGGGTGGGGTGTCGATTCCAAGCGCTCAAGGCTTTGACTATTAGTAGGGACACTCTGGGTTCTGGGAGCAGGAGAGGGAGGGGTGGTTGCATCCTCCTCAAAGCTTTATGCCCCCGCCCCAGCCTGGGAGGGCGAGTCACTGGCGATTCCAGCAAACTGAGCTTTCTTCCTTCTTGCCGCCCCCGTCCTTTTTGGATTCCCAGCCTCTTTCTCCAAGACTGGATCCCTGGCTGGTCCCCTCCCAGCCCTGGGCAGTCCGCACGGTCTCCCCAGGCTAGTCCATAGGCATGGAGTTGGGTGAATTGTTCGAAAGTAGAGACTGGAGGTGGGTGGGGCACTCTGGCCGCCAGGGCTAGAGTAGGGGCAGAGGAAAGTGGGCAAACAGCCCCCTGCTAGCCCCCGGGAGTTTGCAATCCGTCCTTCCCCAGCAGAGAACTGACTCCATCCCACCCTCGTTTCTGGACCCGATCTCCTTGGCGGATGCTGGCGCACACTTGGCCACGCGGGGGAGCGTCTCAGGGGGGCTAGGCGGACGCGGGAGTGGGAGGCGCGGTGCACCTTTCTCCTCTATCTCCCGGATTTCCGAAATTACCCGCAGCTCTGTGGCTCAGAGCCCAGCGGGCGCTCTGAGATGCCTGGAGATTGAAAGTCAGCTTATTTGGAAATAGTATCTCTTGTTTTCTCCGGAGCTCCCACCGTAAAGACTGGGGAGGGGGAGGTGAGAAGGCCAGGCAAAGGGAGCGGTCCCAGCTGACTTTCTCCCTCCCTTCAGTTGATGATCAGATTTAATTCAATATCTAAAGCAAACATGATTATCCGTGTGACCAAATCTGCGCGTCAATAGCACTCAGCGCAACACGCCCAGGGACGTGATTACACTTTATTCTCGTGTTGCGTACCGGCCCCTGGATAATTGAGGGCGCGGGAGTCTTTCTAATATCCCTGGAAAGGTTCTATCGCATCTCCAGGTTCATCCGCGGGGAAAGGAGCAGTTTCCCTAAATAGTGAAAAGTCTCCCTTTGTTCTCCTCACAAGCTTGGAAATGTTTGGGGTTTTGTCTTGCTATTAGAAAAGGCCAGAAATTTCCCTTCAAATTGTTTGTTGTGCAATGTTCAACCTGCCCTGGTAACAACCACTCAACAATCTTCTAGCAACTTCCCCTAACCCGGGATCCTTGGGGGAGGGAAGGAAGTGGGTGTTCAGGGTCGGCTGAAGAGGGGTTGTCAAAAGGCCTCGGGCGCAGCCTGGAAGACTCAAGTTGGTTTGTTTGTACCAGATCCTAGGCCTACCAAGGGCCAAGAATAATCACCAGAACCTTCCAGGCCTGCAGGGAAGAAGGGAGAAGCAAAGAAGGTCCAAACTTTTGCAGATTTTCACCGAGTATGGGTTGAAGACACATTTGGGTTGGTGGACAGGCCCCCAGACCTGCAGTCCGGGTGTGTTGCTGATTCTGCCAAGAGCCTGGAGGTGGGCCCGGCGCCCGCCTCTCTGTCCTCGGGTCCCCGTGGAGTCAATAAAAGCTCCCGCGGAGCCCTGTGTGGCCCTAACCCCAGCGCCCTGGGAGCGCACCCGGCGCGGGGTCCGCTTTGGCAGTCTATCTTCGCCCAATCTACAGCGGGCCCTACAAAACGGCACAATGGGAAAGCTGGGAGCCGGAGATGTTAGAGGCGTGCATATTAAAAAGGGACAGAGAAAGGATCGCAGGGGACAGAGAGAGGGGAAGAGGGAGAAGGGGCTCACCCTCCCCCCCCCCCCCCCCCCGCCCCACCCCGCACCATTCAGCGCGCTTATCGCGGGCAGTGAATCCCGGAGTCAGGCAGAAGTCTCCTTGGGGTTTTGTTGGGCCTGTCACTGGGTCCCTTTGTCATCCTCGGACTCCATGCTGGATTCCATATGGCCAGCTGGGCCGAGGGAGCGCGAGGAGGGACCCGCACAAAACCCAAATTGTGTCCGGCTTTCAAACCCTGTATTGTTGTCTGTGAAAGGAAGACGCATTAAAAATTCGTGCTATATCTATTGGGGAGGAGGATGGAGGAGGGGAAAAAAGCCACCCCTGTCTTTGATGGCTTCAGAGGGCGCTTGCCCGGCCTAGGCCCCGTGACACACTGAGAAGAAAATCAATCTCTCTCTCTCTCTCTCTCTCTCTCTCTCTCTCTCTCTCTCTCCTTCCCTCCCTGTCTCTCTCTCTCCCTCCTTCCCTCCCTATCCTTGTCTCTCTCCCTCTCTTCGCCCCCACTCCGCCCCACTACCCAACTTAGGACCTAACGCTCTGGTCGTGGTCTGTGAGCCATGTGCCTTTGCGACGCTCCTGTGTGTTGGCGCTGACAGCCAGGCTTCTCCCGCTTGGGCGCCCATCGTCGAAGCCATCGGATGGTTCCSGGGCTCCAGAGGCAATCGTCAAGGCCTGGTTGATGCTCCGGTCCCGTTTGGGTTTCACGGCTGTAGGGACTTTTCAGTTCCTTCAAAAAAGGTTCTGAGAGGCTGAGGGCCCGACCGCGTGCCCTGCCCGGCTCAGTTTCGGCCATAGGGATCCCAAGAGCACTTGATATTAGCGGAGCCGCTCCATGACCAAACCAGCTAAGGGAGCGCCTTCGTTTGAATTTCGCGTGGTGATCTTCCTTACATCTTCGTGCCACTGGGAAACCAGTTCAGAAACTTCTTCCAACAGCTTTCCCTTCTCCCAGATTGGAGGTGGGAGAGCCTTTCTCTTTAATTTTGTGTCTCCTGCCTTTTTTTGGTTTGCAAAATTCAGTAACAGGAGGACACAGCCGGGTTTCCAAGGAATTTGCCCATTTTTGCCTCCCCCGAAGCCAGCTGAGTTAACGCAGGGTAATGGGAGATAATTTGGGCCGTGCTGTCTCCACCTTAAGAGCCAGGTCAAAACTCCCAGCTCCCCACATAAACAATATGTGCTAAACAGAAGAGTTCAACGCTGAGGGCTGTGAAAATAACAATTAGAACTCAAATAAGCACTACTGAGTTGGTGGAAATTTCAGCCAATCCAGAACTTGGGTATCCTCCTCCCCCCCCCCTTTTAGTGCCATCGTAGAATCGGATAAATTGACACGAATGGGAAACCCCCTTCTCGACACTCCCCACGCCAGCCAGGGAAATAACTTATTTTCCTTACCTATTGACTGTTGGGCTTAGTGGAGACCTGGTGTGGATTTCTCGAGCCTTTTCAAGAGCCTGGTCATTGAAAAGCTAATCCAATATTTACCGAGCATAAGGACAGTTCTCAGACGTATTTATTAAGACCCATCGCTAAGTGATTACTTGGGCGGAAGACAAAGGCCAGGGAGGGAGCGTGGAGGCGCACCAGCCCCTGCTCTTGCACCCAGAAGTTGGAAGCCAGTCGCCAACTGGTGAGGCGCTGAGGTTCCCCTCCCGGTACTTAAGTGGCGCATGGATTAGATATTGTGTTGGGTGGTATTTCAGGAAATATGTACTTGTGGCTTCCTGAGAGGCCAGGCGCAGTGACACTCTAAACCGTGTCGATATATCATCTTTTATCCAGGATCTGCAAATAAACCCCTGATCCCCTCGGCGCATTATAGCCGCCGCTATCTCGCCAAGGAAGCGATCTGAGTTTTATTGCTTTCGCCAACGCCCCAACACACACACACACACACACACACACACACACACACACACACACTCCCCTCTCCCACCCAATCTGGTTTTTAAAGGCTCTATATTTTTCCCCTTCTGGGGCACCGTTATTAATAAAGCGAATAGGCCTCAGCGCCGCCACCCGAGCAAGTGGAGAAACGCGGGCCTCCAGCGCGCGGATCCCGAGTCTCCTCCTTGCGTTTGCCTCCGGGGAGAGAAACTAGCACGTTCCGCGCGGCGGCGCCACGAGGAGGCGCCGGAGCTCCGCTCTCCGCTGCGCGCGGGGCCTAATCCCGGGAGAGCGTCTGGAAGGCCGTTCCCCGGGTTCCTGGCTGTTCTCCTCCAATGCTCGGCCTCGGGTCGGAGCCCGGTGGGAGGACGGAGGAGGAGTCGGTGGCTCCAAACCAGAGTTAGATCTGAGAGTCAGACCACCCAGCCCGTTCCACCCACAGCTTGCTGGGGCACTTGCGGACCTTCCTTTCCCACTATTGTAATCCCCTCCCTGTCTTTCCACCCACGTGCTACCTGCGGTCCCCACCTCAACTTCCATCACATTTCGGCCTAAACCTCAGCAAACTGTTCCTATGGGCCACTAGGTATGGGGTGGGGTGTTCCTTGGAGCACGAGGCAGCGCTCTCCGTGATCCTGAGCGGCATCGGCCCATGTAGGTGAACGCGAGGTGGGCAGCTCCATGTGATGTGTCCAGGCTGTTAGCGAAATGCTGAAGTTAATGCAGG